CCACCCTGGGGGAGACCCCCAAACACCCCGCACAGCCTGGGGAGGTGGTGGGAGAGCCCCGAGAGAGGAATTTTTGCCATGCTTTTGTTTTTCACCTCCCTGGACTTGCTGCATGGGTCCGACCAGAAGCCTAGCAAGCCCCAGTGGGCATCACCCCAGCAGAGCCCCAGCTCCTGGTTGAGGCGAGTGGTGAACCCCCACATCCACCCCCAAGAGCCCTGGGCACCACTCCAGCCCCCCAGTGCGCAAAGACAAGGGGTGGCAGATTACAGGATAAATGTCTCGTCCCACACCGGGCTGAGGGTCTGGTTTATGACTTGTGTGCGATGGATCTGGTCTTCAGGGATGAGGTCTTTGACCACAGCCTTCATCCTCTTCCTGTGGTCGGGGTGGGCTGGTTCCTGGCTCTTGGCCTCGATGCCCAGGAGGCAGTACGGGTCACTGAACCCTGTGAGGGTGGAGGCGTGCAAGTCCCCATCGGGAGCAGCAGCTGTCCCTTTTCCGATGGGACACCCACCCGTCTCCACTTACCGCTGACGTCTTTACCCAAAATCCCCTTGGCTTCTTTCACGGTTGCTTTCAGGCAAAAAATTGGGCTCTGGAAGAAAGAAAAAAACCCCCATGCTTAATGTGGGGGTCACCAACCCCACAAGGAAGGATGTGGCTCCAGAAGGATTGCATCGTCAGCTGCCGCTCAGGCCAGCAAACAGCTCCTGAGCAACGTCCCCAGCACAGCCCAGGGCACCCCGTACCCCAGAGCCCAAACACGGGGGCTGGGAGGCACTGCAGCCCCTTGGCACCACCCAGATGCAGGGACCCCCCCCTCCCTGGGCCATAGCATACTGCAGAGACACCGTCTCGCTGCGTACCTCCAGTTCCTTGACCTGCTGCATGATGACGCTGTGCTCCTCTGCATCCATGCCGAAAGCCTGTGGTAGATACCGGGGCCGGTAAGGGATGGTGCAGCCAGGGATTTCCCTCCGCTCCCTGGGAGCCAGCTGCAGCTCGAGGGGAGAGGAGAGGAGCAAAGAGCCCAGCAGAAGGGCTGGGGACCAGCTGAAAGCTCTCGAGGGAGAGCCTTCTTCCCACCATCCCGCGCCTAAGATAAATATTTCTCCCTACGGCTAACATTTCCCAGCCGCAAGCTGTCCCAGCCCTCCAGCTGGATGCTGGATGTCTTTTAAGGTGCTTGCTAAAAGCTCCCTCTGAGTGCTCCCCATCTCCTTTAGCTAGGTGGACGTGTCAGGGGACAGGTTTTGGGGACCCCGTTGGGGAGGTGGGGACCCACCTTTTGCACGTAGGCGTATAGCTCCTGGGAGTCCGCAACGTGGTGCTGCTCGGGCTTGCCCAGGCGGTGCCGGATGGTGTAGAGGACCTCCTCATAGAGCAGGACCAGCTGCGAGGAGAGCACCAACACCTCACATGGGGTCAGGCCAGCGAGCGCTCGATCCGTGCATCCCTCGGGATTAGCGGGGTGTCCCTCTCCAGCAGCCCCCCCAAGCTCCCCGCCTGTCCCTGCCACACGCCTCCCGGTATCCAGCCCTGCCCAGCCACCACCAGCTGTCCCTGGGGAGCATCTTTGAGAGCTGAGCCACGTCCCCAAGCCCCAGCAGCACTGCTGACCCCTCTGGTGCCACCACGGGAGACCATGGCAGGGTCACGCTCGTACCTCTCGCTTGGAGAACCGGTGGGACAGATCCATCTAGAGAAAGAAGAGAAGCAGAGAGGTTTCCCATCAGGTCTCGTGGTAGAGGGTGGTTTCAGGAGGAAACCACAACTGGGCAGGGCTGGACAGGGGTGGCATCACCCACAGCCCATCGGGATGGGACACCCCAAAGGATGCCATGACACCCCGCAGATGCCCCCACGTCTGGGGGACCATTTCCTCCATCACCCACCACCGAGGCAGCATGGGGGCTTCACTGCCGAGCCCCATTAATCAAGGATGGGGGGGTGGCAGGGATGGCAACAGCAATTTGGGGTGACCCACAGGAAGCTTTAAAAGCCAGCCACCCACCTCTCGCCCCACAGAGCTGCTCGCTGGCCCGGTCAGGTCCAGCAGGACCAGGCTGGAGAGCAAACCAAGAGACAGGGCAGGTGGCCAAAGTGCAGCAAGGAGCAGCGGGCTGGCCGAGGCAGCTATGGGCAAGGAGACGTCAAAGCCATTGGGATTCATGGCTTGAGTCGCCTTGCCAGAAAGCAACACGAGTGCTGCTGTGACGGTGCATTGCTCAGTGTTGAGCTGAAGGATGACCAGCAATAACTTGCTTTCCAAAAGGCAATTAAATTAAAACAATGCCACATGACGAGGCACAGCCCAGCTCCAGTGGCACTCGGGGGGGGGTGGGGGGTGTGTGTGTGTGTGTCCCACTGACCACACAGCCCCTTGCCTCGAATGTCACCTCCCACTCATCCCAGCTCCGCATGGCTCCAGCCAGGAAATCAAACCACTTCTGCCCAAAATACCCTTTTCCCTGGCTCACCCAGCTCTCAGCCCATCCCCACCCCCTGTTCTCTCCCCGCTGCAGAGCCTGAGCCCGTCCTGCATCTGCTCCCATAACCACGGGCTGGATTTGGCCACCACTGCAGCTGAGCAACTCGGTCGTGCCGCAGAGCCCGGCCGGGTGACAGCGACTTCGCCACCGCCACGAGCCGGGTGAACCAGTCAAAGGGAGGGGGAG